GTTTTATGGCTTCAGAGAATAACAATGTCATGTCCTCTTACAAGCGACAGGGCTGAGTACTACATTTTACTACTCAGTAGTACTTTGTAGCATTCGGGACTGTTAGGGTTAATAGGCATGCATTTATCAGATTAGATTTTGATTTTCTGGATGCTCTGATACGGTTGTTTCTGAGCGTTTTATCAGAAATGCAACACCTAGATGATGGCATCTAATCTGAAAGCCAACTGCGTGTTGCATGGGATTCAGCTACCAGCATGCGCACGGACAAATGTGGGTGGTACATCTTGCACGCGGTGAGAGACATTGCCCCGAAGTCAGAGACAAGGTCAGACGGGCATTCAGACTCAGCAAGTATGCATGTAATGCGCTGTTGCATGCGACTAGTCGCGCTAGGAGCACCTACTGCGCATCAGGGTCCCACGTCCGTGTCAGCCTTGCATTCCGAGAGGTCTTGGGGGCAGGGTCAACTCAACGGAGATTGGTCAGGGCACCTTCGGGCTTCTTTGTGTTACATGTCCGTCCGTGCTTTCTGAATGATAGATGAACTGTTGTCTTTTTGTGCTGTATTTTTTGTCTTGTAGCAATCACAAAACCTCCGCAGGACGTCAGCGTGGTGTCAGTCGGCAAAACATCCGCCACCCTGACTTGGAAGAAGCCAGACACCCAAAAACCCGTCAACGTAAGTATTCTTCAGATTTCTCACCACAGACATTTTCCAACTCCATGGCTCCCTCTCTTGTCTCTGGTTTCATTGTTCAACTTGTGAGGCATTTCTCAATGTACCCTAAGCTGTGGAACAGCTTGCAAAGATGACCTCTGACCTTTTCCTCTTTCAACAGCAGGAGAAAAACAAGGGGGGGAAAAATTGCAGCAGTATTTGAATTTTGTTTCGTTATACAAATCTGCAATGTTTGTTTCACTTTTTAAAGGATGTCCAGCTGCCTTTTGCTTTTAATGTATGAGTATATGTTAATGAAGATGTCCATATTCATGAGCAAAACTGTGATGTCATCCTAGAAAGAAAACCTCCATGGTAAAATTGGTTGCTGCACAAAAACTCGTTTTGACAAATTTTGGTGGCCTTAATTTCTTTCTTGTGTTGATTCAATGCTGTGTATTATACACGTAAATACACAGAATATTAAGACAAGCAAAGAATCCTTTCTCAGAAATATTCCCAGTGAGGAATTCTAGGTTCACAGTTGGAACCAAAAAGCCATTGCACTGAACCATGTCTTCCTTGGATGACATCACTACAACAGCGCCCTCAGTTGTCCAGGAAAGCATGGAGGATTGATGAATTAAAAAAGTGCACAATACGTTCAACCTAATAGGGATGCCAAACGGTTTTTAATACATTGGAAAAGAGTATAAAATTTGCAGAAAACATCTCCTAGAAAATTCTGCTGCAGCAACACTCGTAAAAAAGCCCCGAAAATAACAATCTGAAGCTGTCGTTTTTGCATTCCCTGCTCTTGACTTTGTTTTGGATATTTTTCTCATCCTGACGCAGCTTCAGAAGACTTGCTTGCTAAAACTGAAGCCCGAAGGTCACCGTCTCTGGCAAAGCCAGAGTGGGCGGGGACCCAGTGGCTGGCTGGCTGGCTAATCTCTATTTACACCATCAGAGTAGTGCGAATTCAGCATTCTGTCATGAATATGCATCAGATGCGGTGCAGAACACTCTGCAAACCAGCTAGCTTTGCAGCAGGCTGACTTAATTGGTCAGCTGTCTTTGTGGCCAAATGGCGTTGTGACCACTTCCCGAGCTGTAGTTCAAGGCCATCGTAAATCATTTTGCGTCCCCAATCACGAGTCATAGGGCGAGCACATGACAAAGGAGTGCCTTTCACACAATGACAAAGGAGCGCTCTTGCCACTGCTCAAGTGGAAGAGCTTGTGACTGTCTGTTAATCTCAGTTGTCTCGAGTTTCATGCTATTTTTTTTCTCCCCCCATCTTCACTCCCGGCAGTATTACCTAATCTACTGCGACACCACCAGCTCAACCCACCAATGCGGGAACGCAACAAGGACATCGGCCACCAGTGAGTACCGGGGGGACCGGTGCGCTGCACGCTAAGTGGACCTCGGCACAAAAATTAACCAGATGGAAGTGGCCGGTTACGGCGTTCTGGGGGCGACAGGTTCCATTCTGGCTCCAGACTCCATTTCGTTGGCCAAACCATTTGTTAATTACATGTACATGTACCCACAGCGTTCTTTTCCTAACACGTATTCATTATTATTTTGACTTCACCTATGCCACTTCATGAAAGAAGGTTCTTCAATTACACAAATCTACATGTACAGTGTACAAAAAATATTTAGAGAAATCAATACAATTGTTTGTTTTGTAAACAAACATGTATGGACGCGAAATGCTAAAATTTGTGTGACTTTTGTCTGTTTGTGAAAACGGTGAGAGTGTACCCATGGAGCAGTGAAGTAAGGTCGTTGGGCAGCACGAACCTTAATCTGATCTATCCCTCAGAGGGGAGGGGTGGGGTTTATTGCAATGGACAAAATGACACAGCTGTGTGACCTTGGTCTGTTGACCTACCAGAGTTATAATGACTCAAGTTAATGACTCAACTTAAGTCTGACTTGAGTCACAATTTGTGGAGCCTCAATTTGAGTCCCATTGGGTAAAATGACTCAACATGAGTTAGTCTAAGCAAATGACTCAGGAGAGAACTTGAGAGAGAGTTAATGAGAGTCGAGTCCCAGAATGAAAGCGAAAATTTGAAATTGACATGAAATTAGTCCAGCTATTAAAATGCCTGATCTGACTCCACTCGACTTTTTTGCCCAATGACTTGGCTCAACTTGAGTCACTACGTTACAATGACTCAATTCCACACGAGTCACAAAAGTTAGGTGCTCATTACAACTCTTTCACCAACTGACCCAAAGAGTGACTTTAGAACACAGGTGTGCAACATTTGCTAGGAGCGGTGGATTCATTCATTCTTTCGCTTCTCAAAGTGTGCCATTACAAAATGGAACGTGACAGGACAGCCGTGTGATTGAATTCTCAATAGCATCCTTTGGCACGGGAGCGTTACATTTGTTTGTGACTTTCCGCCTCGATTTCAGTCGAAGAACTGTGCCCAGGGACCAGGTACTTCTTCCAGGTAGCAGCCGGGAATGAGGGTGGTGTGGGCCCCCAGTCTCGCATGGTCATCAACAGCACGCAAGGCACTGCCCCCTCGGCGCCAACAAACCTCAATGCCATGACAAAGTCCTTGACCGAGATCTCACTGTCCTGGGACCCTCTGCCTACTGGGATGGTAAAAACCAACGTGAGTTATTCTTTTTTTCCCCCTCTGCTGTAAACAGGTCTGTCACAATGGAGCAGGTCAAGGTTTTAAAGCGGTGGGGGTGCTCAACTTCTCACCCAAACAGTATGCAAATAGTGAATTTGCATTTGCGCTGAGCGTAAGGTCAGAGCGTGTGTGATTTTACCAAGCAGTGGCATTCCTTCGGTTGGAATTTATGAACTCTGTGAAAAACTTGCCCATGGCTTATTGTTCAGTCAGATGTTTTTTTGGGGGGGGGGAATCATGCTGTTCGCGGATTTGTTGGGTTTAACGATTTGTTTCAAAATGTTGAAGCCCTTTATCTTAACATCCCTCCAGACCTATTCCATTTACTGGGAACGGACAACTGCCGGTCGGCTGCCTTTACAGGACACAACAAAGTCAACTAAGTACATGGTGAGCGGCCTGGTGCCAGGAATAGAATACGCCTTCCAGGTCAGCCTGGGGATTTGTCCGGACGCACCGAGGACACCCATTGCGTTCTGCAACACCTCTTACGGTGAGTTTTTGTTTGCTCCGGATGGAGGTGGTGGGGGGATGGGTACTCTTGGGTGTCAGGGGGGAGGGGAATTGATGTCTGGCCCCTCGTCATCACTCTCCCTCCCCCGAAAAGGATTTCAAAGAAGGAGATGAAGTGTTCCAAGATCTGCTGCGTGTCGGGGACATGTTTATTATACAGGTTTTTTGCCCCTACGCTGACGTAAGGGCTGAAACCTGGAATTAAAAATTAACACCTCCCCAACGCAAAGTACATCTTGGAATAGTTCGCGGTATGGTGCTCCTATATCTGACGTGGACCAGCCAGCCGACCCGGGCAAGCTCGCTGGCCAAGTAGTCAAGATGTCTGAGATAGTAAGCAGGAGGTTGTGGGTTTTAGTCCCACCTGAGTAAGCCTGTGATTTTTTTTCATAAGATGTTGGACAAGCACTGAGTATACAGTGTTTGTGAAAATGCATAGGGGTTGAAATGGTTTGCCAAAAAAAGAGGGAAAAAAGTGGAATTGATCACCTTCCACTGTGAGTGGGTCATCAGAGTATGCTGATAAAAGTGACTGCTTTACCCTCTCCCACCAGAAATGTCCCCTACCCTGCCCCCCAGCTGACCCCCACCCCCACATATTTTCAACGCAAACACCAAAATCAAAGTAATTCAAGCAATTTGTCTGGGTTTTTATTTATTTTGGCTGCTGCATCTAGATGAGACTTTGCCGGTCAGGGATCTGGCCGTTCAGTCCATCGACATCACGAGCCTCAACGTGAGCTGGAAGGCACCCCGGGACGCACCCCATGTGTTGGTAAGATGACCGACCGAATGGGCAGTCTTTTATAAGTGGCAGGTGCCCCCGGATCAGTAGTGGATCACTCCATCACGGCACATTGCCGCCGCCTCCAAAAGTAGCGAAATCCCGACAGGAGCTTTTAGGTTAAGGAGTATCACCAAATAAAAAAAGAATTATAAAAAAAAATGATATTGACCTGGCAGTTTTTATTGCTGTTTCAAGAAAATGTCTACAGGAACTTCTGCAGATGACACAAAACACAGTAAAAGGGGAGGGACCAGTCGCATCAACTCTCCAAACATTTTAGACTTGTGAACAGACGTACAGTGCTGTAGTTTAGAGCACTGTATGTTGTAGTACAGAGCTGTTCTTTCCCGTTTGCCGTGAAACAATGAGCATTGATTTTGTGAAATAATTCAAAACAGAATTGTTTGTGCGGTGTCGATAATCTGTACTCGGGCATACATGAAGGACAGGTTGTGAAGTGTTGTTAAAAGTCCATTGTTGTCTGCGAGTCCATAACCAGTCTATACACAAGGCCAGTTGTAGAGACTTAAAGAGACTTGTGATGGACTTTCGGGAACTTGTGATGGACTTGCAGGGACCTGTGATGGACTTACAGGGACTTGTAGGGACTTGTGGTGGACTTACAGGGACTTGTAGGGACTTGTGGTGGACTTACATGGACTTGTAGGGACTTGTGGTGGACTTACATGGACTTGTAGGGACTTAAAGAGACTTGTGATGGACTTACAGGGACTTGTGATGGACTAACAGGGACTTGTGATGGACTTACAGGGACTTGCAATTGACTTTCAGGGACTTGCAGGGACTTGTGGTGGACTTACATGGACTTGTGAAGGACTCGAATGCAATTTTCTATAAACCTATGTTTTGCAAACCGATGAGGAAATTGTCTCCTCGTGAAAACTATGACCAAGTAAAGAGCATTCTTTTGTGATGCAGGTGTACAAAGTGATGTACCAGGAGGTCAAGAACACAAAGCTGCAGACATTGATGGTCGGTCCCACGCCAGACCGCTTCTTACACAAAACCGTCACCGGCCTGGTGCCCGGCATGATGTACATCATCAAAGTCAGCACTGACGCTGCCAACGCCAAGGTCAGCCGTCCAGTGAACGGAACCACGAGTAAGTCTGATCGTCGTGTTGCGAAGCTCCCCTTTGGTGTTGTCTTGGTCAAGACGTTGGTGTGTATCACACCTGAAAAATGCATCATGCGTGATCTGTCCACAGTGATCCCACTGGATGGTTTAATGGAAAAGTATTTCTTAAAGGTAATTTACCACAAATCATACATCGTGGTCCATGCTGTCGGACAGAGTCCATATCCACAAACTTTGCCTTCCTGATAATGTGACTGTCCGTTCGAGTCGAGAACGTCGACTGGCTGGCCAGCAGACGCAGCAAGTACATGTACCATACACTCGCAATCAAACACAACTTACGACCTGTGCCAAGCAAGATAGTACCAGACTATTGTGCTACTTCGTCGTGGCTGTTCAACGTGTGTGCGCGGGCGTGAAGAGAAAAGGGGAGCACCTGCATTCGTAATAACTCATGCGCAGTGAGTCCCCCCCCCAGTTTTTTTTGGGGCAGATTCGTCCAACTTCCCAAGACGTTGTTGCTGAAGTGGCTAGTTGTGGTTCGTGCGTCCCAGCCATTTGTCTTTTGAGTGCCCTCTCGCTTATCAACAACACAACAACGTCTTGACCGAGACTGCTTTTTAGGTCAAACAGATAACCCTCGCATTGAGCTTGTTTCTGTTCAGTCAGTGGATTTCAGGCATCCTCTCTCTATATCTTGGAGAATTTGATTTCCAACATGGACAATTCACAACGCAGTGCGCCACCAAGAGTTTCTCATGGAGAGGCCTTCTCGCAGTGCATTATGGGATAAATAGTCAACAGAGTCTCATAAAACTGACTGTGTTGCGGGAAAACTTCAGTTTTTCCGATCGTTTGTTAATCTTGGTGGAAAACTCAAAATTGCTTTAATTTGAAACGGGTGTTAAGCAGTCAAAATGAACGTCTCAATGGAACGTCACAAAATGAAATGCCTCAATAAATCAAATATCCCCAAATTAAATATGAGCATGCTTAGTCGTCCCCCGTACTGAATGGCCAACAGCAGCCGTTAGTGTGTCGTGTCTGCACCACTCGTGGAACATAAAGGTGTTGGTTTGATTTTTGTTGAAAAAGCCGCAGGGTTTGTCTGTTTGCGCCAGGATGCCAAAATTGGCAATACATCAAAGCATAGAACTTTGTTTGGTCTTCTCTCATATAAATTCAGACAGAACGACCAAAACATGTGGTCTTGAGACTTTTAGTTTTTGGTGGGATCTGGTCACACTTTTGGTTTCAACGCAAAGTGAAAGTGAATTGTCGTCCGATTCCTGATGATTTTGCTTTCTCCTGTCGCAGGAAGGGTTCCAGCGCCGACGGACTTTCTGGCAATTACTGAGAAGGACGACCATGTCTATGTGATGTGGGCCCCATTACTCAATCCATACCAACCGCAGAACAAGTCATTGGTATGTACATGTAGAATATATCTGGGGTGTAAGAAGTCAATTTTTTAGCTGATTTCAGCTTTTTTGTTCAGATGTTGACCCTGAATTTTATTTCAGCTTTTTTGTACACCTGGTCGGTACAGAAGTAGGGGAACGTTTTACATTTCAGCTTTTTACTAGCTGTTTTGAGCTTTAATTTGTGACCCGCTCTGCCAAAAAGGGTACTAAGTCGCGCATTTCCAAAATATGTAATGGCCTGTTCTATTTGGAGGGGGCAAAATGTCTTCAAAAATGTGATTTTGTGGTTTTTTCCTCTCTTAAATTGTATAACGTTTATGTTTTCAGAATTTGTGACTACAAACATGGATACTGAAGAATAAAGATAGAAAAATTGATCATTCAGTGGGAAATCCTACGTAGCATTGTGTTTCCAAGTGCTACACTTTCTGAGCTTTTTCTCGAAAAGCGCTTTAATTAAATCCGAAAATGGGGATGTTCAAATGTCTAAATATCTCCGGAACGCAGTGCTTTACAGGGGTCATTCATGTATCAAATTATAGCTTTTGATGTACACAATCTAGCCATATCAAAAACTGATATCCTGAATCTGGCGACTTGTCACCCGTTTTTCTAGAGCCGGTCACATTTTAAGTGGCCACTCACACCCCCTGATATATGCGACCCAGGTCTAATTTCATTTTGCTGCTCAGCGCACAATTTCACGCTAACAGAGGCTCCACCTTTTTTTACGGAGACCATGAGCAGCAAGCACAGCCCAAAGGCATGGTAACCTTGGAGGGAGAAACTTGCTTGAACCCAGGGACGTCACAGTAGAAATCTCCATGTGCGCGCAACCTTTAATCTTAGAGTTCCAAAATCGAATCTGTTCATGTTTCAACTTCCACAACTGTGGATGCAGCGGTTGTATCGAGGTTAGGATTTTTTCATAGAGGTGAAGTCGACACCGTCTACCTTCTGAAAGAATGAAATTGTCCTTTTATGTTTTTGCTCGATGGCATCACCGATGTCAGAGCCCAGTAGCCCATTTTGGAAGAAGGCATGTTTGTGTCATAGTTCTGTGCTGTTCAATGCAATGCTACTCTGAAAACAGGCTGTGGAAAAGTTACAGTGTTTCTGTCGAAGCAGTCCTCAGTAGCGAAGGGGTCAAAGGTGCCGCGTTTGCGCGTGTAGGCCCCAATAACATCTTCACTGCATGTCAGGTTTGCTGGAAAATAAATTTATGGTCAGGCTCCTTTACAAATGCTGACCCTTGGTGGTCATTTGGTCAAGATTTGGCGACATTGCATGCTGCATTGTTGCTTAGTCAACGATTGACAGACTGTTGCGGTGCAGTGTTTACCAGAATGCCTGGCTGTCGTCATGGCGTAGTTTTAGTGTCTTGTGTGCATACACTCTAAATGTCAATTGTTCAAACACAAGGGCGTCATGAGAATTGGCCGGAACGTGTCTGAATGCTCTCCACATGTTCAGGCCGTCATCCTACCGGAATTGGTTTGGTCAGAATTTTACAATTAGTTCACTTTTTGTTTTGTGTACCAGGGTTACACGGTGTTCCGGGCAGGCATCAGGCCGATTCTTGCAGAGGATGGCGGCAAAGGAGACTATTACCAGAAATGTGAAGATCTGGGCCAGAAGTCCTATCTCCTACCAACCCTGAAAGATTACATCCCTATCCTCAACACCACCAGCCATTTCGCCCATCTAGACCCGCTCCCTCCAAAACAGGCTCACCTCCTGAGGGTCAGCACAGGTGCCTACAAGGGAATCTACGGTCTGATGTCTGACTATGCGTGTGTGGACGGCCCTGAAACAGGTAACAGATAAATTGAAACAAAATCAAAACAAACCAGAAACTCAAAGGCAAACCAAAAGGCAAACAACCCAACCCAAAACCTAGCCCAAGCCAAGCCAAACCAACTCAGTCTAACTAAATCGAGACCAACGCAACCCAACCCAAGCCAACCCAATCTAACTAAATCCAACCCAAGCAAGCCTAACCCTATTTAGCAAAACCCAACCCAACCCAAACCAAACCAAATCCACCCCCCGACTCCAACCATAGCCAACCCAACCATAGCCAACCCAACGGGTCCCGACCCAACTCAACCCTTTCCGACCTAGCTTAACCCAGACTAGCCCCACTCGCACAAACCAACCCAAACCTTCAAACCCACAGACCTACAAAACCTAATTACAGCTATGAACAACCAAGAAATCAAATGGCTGCAGCCTGTCTTGTTCTGTGGCCTTAAACTACATCTGACTGGGCTTAAGGTGAAGTCAGGTGACCATCCCATGAACTCATTTTGACCCGGTTAAGTTGTAGTCTTTTTTGGATGTCATAACCCCATCATGATTTAGTTTTAAGTGAAGTTTGCTTGACCCCTTTTAGCCACTTCTTTCCAGGGACTCTGGAATCAGAGACGCACGGTTTATTACGCATGGCCGGGGTCTTTGAACTCGGACAAAGGAAACAGGGCCCTGTAACAAAAGACCGTACTCCGAACAAAAGACCAGGCTGCTGTATTACCGACATTTTTCACTCTCAAAAGTGGTGATAATCCAGCCTTGTTTTGAAACCGTATACCGGGGTTTGGGGCATTGAGAGGGAGCGGATTACCACCGGGGACAAAAGCGCTCCACCACCGCAGCAATGAGCCACACAGCACTGC